GGATGGAGCCTCAGCTGCCCACAGCGAGAACCAGCGTGAGAATGCCCCTTGGTTGACTTTTGTCCCTTTCCTGCCTCACGTCCCCACCCCCTGCCAGTGTTTCCTGGGGTCACCGCCCCAACCAATGGTTGCACTGGACTCCTGTCTCAGGATGTGCTTCTGGGGACCCCAACTCAGAGGGAGCCCCGGTGGGGGCAGAGAAGGGCACCCCGCCGGCTCACGCACCTGCATACCCGTGACGGAGACATGGTGAGACTCCACCGTGGGCCTGCGGGGCAGCCGCGGCGAGGACTGCGGGGACCCGGCGGGCGAGTAGGACAAGGACGGGTGGATGCAGCGCCCATTGATGTCTGAGCCGCCGCTGGCCTCGGGGCCGCCCTGGGACCGCTCCTGCAGAGAAAGCTTGCGGCTGGAGAGGTGGGGCCGGGCCTGGGGCCTGGGGGCATGCAGGGAAGCCTCCAGGCCATCGGCAGCACAGCCCGGCTCACACTCGGTGACCACGATGAAGGACTCCATGCCCAGGCGGAGGCTCAAGGTCGAGAGGCCCTGCAGGGCCTCACAGGGCTTCTGGCCTTCGCTGCTGCTGCCCCCGCCCCCCAGCTCATCCTGGGTGGCGGCCCGGTTGCTGCTGGGCTGGCTAGAGACACATGATGACATGGTGCGCGGCGCGCGCCGACCTCATCCAGTACGCCCAGGCTCTCCCATCCACAACAACGGGGCCACCTGCGGAGAGAGGAAGGGTCAGCAGCCTGTCCCCCACCCCTGTGGCACAGATACAAGGACGGGAGCCCCTTTACTGCCAACCCTACTGATGCCGCGTTCCTGCCCCAGTTTGACATCCAACCAAAAACCTTGCAAACCGTGATGTGATCTGACCTCTGGCCCATAAAGAAAATCATGCTCTACATGTCCTTCCCTTAAAAGACCCCTCACATACCGTAACAAGGATTCCAAACTCAAATGCCCAATAAAAAAAGAAAGACTAACTCGTCCCCGTCGAGTAGATACTGACTCATGGCGACCCCACGTGTTACAGAATAAAACTGTGCTCCATAAGGTTTTCTTGGCTGTAATCTTTATGGAAGAAGCCCTGGTGGTGCAGTGGTTAAATGCTCAGCTGATAACCAGAAGGTCAGCAGTTCAAACCCACCAGCTGCTCCATGGCAGAAAGACGTGACAGTCTGCTTCCATAAAGATTTACAGCCTTGAAAACCTTATGGGGCAGTTCTATTCTGCCCTATAGGATCACTATCAGTCAGAATCGACTAGACGATAACGAGTTCGGTTTTAGTTTTTTTGGCTAATCTTTCTGGAAACAGATCACCAGGCTTTTCTTCTGCAGCACTGCTGGCTGGGTTTGGACCATGAACCTTTAGGTTAATAGTCAAGCACAAACTGTACCACCCACCAAAAAACCAAAAACCCACTGTTGTAGAGTCCATTCCAACTCGTAGCAACCCAGAGGGTTTCCAAGGCTGTAAATCTTTATGGAAGCAGACTGCCACATCTTTCTCCTGGGGAGCAGCTGGTGGGTTCAAACCACCAACCTTTGGGTTAGCAGCCGAGCACCTTAGCCACTGCATCACCAGGGCTCCAGTCAGGGACCTTCAGATGCCTGTAGAAACCAAGTATAAGAAAACTCCAAAACAGATCCTGTGTCCTCCTTACAGAGGGCTAGCTACTTTCAGCTCAAGCCAACTGTTGTGAAGCAGGGATTTGGGCCTAGGATTGCCTGGTATTTCTTTTTTTTTTCCAAAAAAAGCCCTAAATTCAAGTCAGCACAACTGGACTAAACCAAAAGCTAAGAAGTTTCCTGAACACAACCCAGCACTTCAAGGGACAGAGTAGCAGGGGCGGGGGTCTGGGGACCATCTAGGTCAACTGGCATAACAAAGTTTATTAAGAAAATGTTCTGCATCCCACTTTGGTGAGTGACATCTGGGGTCTTAAAAACTAGCAAACGGCCATCTAAGATGCATCAATTTGTCCCAACCCACCTGGTGCAAAGGAGAATGAAGAACACCAAAGACACAAGGTAAATATTAGCCCAAGAGACAGAAAGGGCCACATAAACCAGAGATTCCATCAGCCTGAGACCAGGAGAACTAGATGGTGCCCGGCTACCACCAATGACCGTCCTGACAGGGAACACAACAGAGTCCCCCTGACGGAGCAGGAGAAAAGTAGAGTGCAGAACTCCAATTCTAGTAAAAAGTCAAGACTTAACGGTCTGAGACCGGAGGGACCCCAGAAGACATGGCCCCCGGACTCTTCTGTTGACCCAGAACTAGAACCCTTCCCAAGGCCAACTCTTCAGACAAAGATTAGACTGGACTATGGGACATAAAATGATACTCATGAAGAGTGTGCTTCTTAGCTCAAGTAGATACATGAGACTGAATGGGCAGCTCCTGTCTGGAGGTGAGATGGGAGGGCAGAAAGGGTCAGGAGCTGGTTGAATGGACACGGGAAATCTGGGGTGGAAATGAGGAGTGTGTTGTCACAGTATAGGGAGAGCAACTAGGGTCACATAACAGTATGTGTATAAATTTTTGTATGAGAGACTAACTTGAACAGCAAACTTTCACTTAAAGCACACACACACACACACACACAAAAAGCTCTAAATTCAAGCTATTAGGTGTTATCTCCTGATTTTTTTAACTAGCAATTATTTCACCCGTCTGTCAGTTTATCATACTGTGGCGGCTTGTATGTTGCTGTGATGCTGGAAGCTATGCTACTGGTGTTTCCAATTGCAGCAGGATCACCCATGGTAGACAGGTTTCAGCGGAGCTTCCAGACTAAGACAGACTAGGAACAAAGGCCTGGAGATCGACTTCCAAAAATCAGCCAATGAAACCTCTATAAATTACAACAGAATAACGGCCAATATGAGTCCAGCACAACTAGATGTTGCCCAGCTACCACCACTGACTGCTCTGATAGGATCACAATACAGGGTCCTGGACAGAGCTGGAGAAAAATGTAGAACAAAATTCTAATTCACAAAAAGACCAGACTTACTGGTCTGACAGAGACTGCAGAAACCCCGAGAGTATGGCCCTTTTAGCTCAGCAATGGAGTCACTCCTGAGGTTCACCCTTCATCCAAAGATTAGACAGGCCCACAAAACAAAGTGAGTCTAATGGGCACACCAGCCCAGGGGCAAGGACACGAAGGCAGGAGGGGACAGGAAGGCTGGGAATGGGGAACTCAAGGTCGAGAAGGGGAGAGTGTTGACATGTTGTGGGGTTGGCAACCAATGTCACAAAACAACGCGTATTGTATAATGAGACACTAATTTGCTCTGTAAACCCTCATCTAAAATACAATTAAAAAATAAAAAAACAAAGTAGTGTGTGTATTCATTATTATGAACTACTGTATGTATTTAACTCAAATGTTTACTATAATAGGCTTTATGGCAGTCCGTTCTTAAGTACGAGTTGTCCACAAGTTGGAGGATCATAAGCCAAGGGCTGCCTGTATAGTGAAACGCTGCTTGTTTTAAAGTATCAGAATGTTGTTGTTGTTGGGTGCCGTCCAGTCAATTCCAACTCATAACGACCCCATGTAACAGAAAATTGCCTCCATTCAGTTTCCTAGCCTGTAATCTTTACGCGAAGCAGACTGCCAGGTCTTTCTCCCACAGAGCTGCTGGGTGGGTTCGAACCGCCAACCTTTCGGTTACCAGCTGAGCACTTAACTGTTGTGCCACCAGGGCTCCTTCCTATCAGAATGGCAAAGACAAAATGTTCAGTAATAACACTACTCGGGGTCCACGTCTCAGGCTATGGGAAGGTGGCCACTCTCTCACATATGGCTGGTGGGAGGAGAAACTGAAAGCACCCCGGTGGAGGAAAATGCATCTTATCTAACAAAATTCCACGTGCTCACACTCAGCAATTCCATACCTGGGTGTTTATTCTAGGAGACAACCTCACACAGGTCAACGACTATGTATGTACAAGATAATTCAGGTGGCGTGGTTTTAAATAACCATCCACAGGGGACTGAATCAAGAAAATGAAGTACATCCGCCCCAGGAGAAAACTATGCATTTGTTTACAAAGCGAGGTAGCTCTACATGTCCTAATATGAATTAGCTCCAAGGCACACTCTTACTCGAACAAAAGCAAAGCATTAGTACTCCACTGTTAGCGCAGGGGGAAAATGGACATCTGTGCATACATGAGTGTACATGCATCCAGCATTTCTGGAAGGCACACCAAAAAAATGGTAACAGCAGCCATCTCGAGGAAAGATAACTGGTTTGCAGAGATGGGAGGGATTTACTTTTACTTTTTACTGTATCTATTTTTACTTTTGTACCACGTGCAAAAGGGGGCTGGATGAACCCCTGAAACTAGTGCCCTGAGATAATCTTTAAAACTTAAACCAAAAATATCCCTGAAGTCTTTTTAAAATCAAACAATTGCTTAGCTTAACCAGTAAATAATGTCTGCCTTGAGCATTATGCTCTTTTAAGAACTATCTATATGAGAGCAAAGTGACAACAACTCAAAAGGATCAGATAGGAAGCTAAGGGGGCAGTGAGTTCATGTTAATGGAGGAGGAACAATTTAGAATAGGAGGGTGAGAATGGCTGCACGACTTGAAGAATGTCATCAATGCCACTGAATTATTCATGTAGAAGCAGTTGAATTGATGCATGTTTTGCTGTGTATATTCTCAACAACAATAAAATAAAACTTTTTAAAAAAGAAGTTCTTACCCTGGAAAGGCAGGGGTGTGCTGAAAACTGATTATACTAGAAAATGTAATAATAAATCTGTATATGCTCAATAAAAAAAAAGAATGAAAGAAAAGAACTGTAACCATGATGGGGTCATGGGATCATACGGGGCAGCAGGGGCAGAGGTTGGTTCTATCCTCCAATCCCTCTATCCCACCTCTTACTGTATCTGAGAAAGAAATCATTAGCTGTGTTCATGCCTTGGCTTCTCTATCAATGAAAGAACATGACCCAAGATCAGTGTTCTCTGTGGCCCCAGCTACTGTTACTTTACGTATTCTTTTTATGATCCTTCTCTCCTGGGCCCCTGAAGTTCCGACTGCTTGGGCTCATCCATATCCTGGCTCACAGCAGACAAGGGACTTAGCCTCTCTCAGCCTCAGTTTTCTCATCTCTGAAGTGGGTGCCTCACTCAATAGTTGTGTGGATTAAATGGGATAAGCACTCGGTCTCACGCCTGGCACTGGGTTAATGCTCTAAAAGCTGTTCTTTCAACAAATACCTGCCAACTACCTACTACTACTGCTGGGCTGTGTTCTGGAATATTCCTACAAGGGATGGACGTTCAAGCAGAGGCGGTGGCCTGCTCCTGGGTGTGCTGCACTGGCCTTGTGGGCCTGCCTTCCCGAGGGCAGAAGGGCCTCTCGGGTGGGCTGTCCTCCCTCCCGGAGCTGCCCCTGCCAGGGCTGGGAGAGTTCCTAAAAACAAATCGAGGCCTGGCAGCACCTGAGAAATAGTCAGTGGAGGACTTTTTTTCTTGTCAACAGAAAAACAACTGCTTATCGATTTCTACTCCAGACCAAGGACACCGAGCCATCCGCCCCAGCAAAGTTGCTTTTAATCAGTTTCCTTGGCAAGCTGGTGTCCGGCCCAGGCTCCGCTCTGGTCTCTGCCAGGAGCCTTGGCCTTTGAGGTCTGGAGGAGGAAGGAGGAGGAATGTGCCATCTGGGAAGGAGGTCGGTGTCTGCACAGGAGGGGTCTCAGGACAGAGGAGCCCCAGAGAGCCCGGCCTCAGGGCTGTCAGGCCCCTGGAGGCGGCCGGGGTCTGCAGCGAGGCTCATGGAGATCTGTCCAGAACTCAGCGACCCCCTACAGATTCCAGACCAGTGTTCGGAATGGTTGAAGGTTCACAGACCCAAAAGGATCTGATCAAAGCTACCAACAGTCTGCTTAGAAGGAAAAAAAGTACAAAACACCATCTTCTGCGTGATGACAGCAATCGCTCACAAACAACCGAGCTCTGATGGTGCTCTACGCACCGGGCTAA